ATTGGTCAACCGAAATTCCAACGGTTTGATTTCTCAACGGATACACTTTCGGTCAATCAAAAGTGACTGAGAATGTCCCTTTTGCTCTATAAATATTCATCAATTTTGCATTCAATTTTTAACAACTTACAATAGATATTTAGAGAGCTTATTTATTGAAGATCGTTGAGCTTACTTGATTTCAAAATTCAATTTCATTTATTACAAAAAATTTCTTGATTGATTAAACTAATTTTCATCTATCTCATCAAAATTTCCTCTTGCAAAAAAAATTTCTCAATCTCATTTATACTTCATTCTTGATAAAAATTTTCTTTACCAACACTTATATTGAAGTGTAAATTTCTCTTCATATTTAACTTGTATTATTTGTTAAGAGATATCATATGTTAAAAACTTTGATACAAATATACAAACTATTTCATTGTTCATTATTCATCAAAGTTTACCACACAATCACTTGACATTTATTATTTGCTATCTATTGAAATGTTATCATAACTCTCTAAATACTTAACTTGATTATATCATTTGTTAAAAGAGTTTTTTCAATTGTAAAACTATCATTTATACTTTAGTAGTTTCGAGAGTTTTGTGAAAACTCGATTGTTGTTAAGGATAAGTGTTCAATGTTGAAAGTCACTTAAAAATAGGTGCTCTTTGTTGTAAGTCACCTAAGGATGAGTGTTCTTTGTTGTAAGTCACTAAGGATCGGTACTCATTGTTTGTAAGTTACCATTATAGTGCATTTGGCTTTGCTCGTGATGGAGAGTTTGCTAACGAAAGAGTAGAACACATTGTGTATCGAACCCCATTAAATTGATTTGTCATCTTTACATTATTGCACTTTAATTACTTTACATTACCGTTTATATTGTGCTATATTCATACTTGAATTAAGTCATCGAACTTACATATTTAATTCTAGTATTATACTTTGCATTTAAATCTTGTGTATTGTATTATTTTAGACTAAGTATCGAAAAAGTTTTAAAAACCAACTCATCCCCCTCTTGATTAGTTATTCTTGGGTTATCAAATTTGCCCAACACTAGTTAGACCATGATTCTTAAAAAGTGTCATTGGTTCTTTGGACTAAAAGTCATGGATTTCTTACTTCTTAGACTCGTAGATACCTTTTTCTGTTTTTCTTTTCTAGAATTTGAACTACCTATATTTACCAAAAAAATTTGCCAATTGAAAATTGTAAAGAAAAATGCTCGAGGAAATAGAGAGCATAGAAATATTCGTGGCTACTAAATTTAATTATTAACTTTTCATATCAAATTAGTGACCCAACTTTCACGTTCGACTCCCGATAGTAATGAGATTAATTCAAAAACAAAAGTTTTCAACTTGAAAGTCAATTCTTGAGGTCAAATAAAAAAGGATACACGGGTGACCTAGCACAACAAAGGTCTCTCTCCATAGAATTGTCTATTTTCTTGGTGACAATCTTGATATTAATGTCTCATTGAGATTCTATGATTAAAGTATCGGAAAACTCCATTTAGTATAGAGTTTTACTATTTTGCTACTTTGATGTGGACATTTGAAAATTCAATATATTAAAAATGAGAACTTAAGAATAATAATTGATATTTAGAAATCATGTGAACGATCCAACTAAAATAAACATGAAATTTGAGTGACTTGAATGTAACATGTTTGTCTCTATTTGAACTTCACAAGGTTGGTAACTGACAAATTAGTTGTTGAAGTACTTCAAAAATTGACATAGTAGATAGAGATCATGCATTCAACACAATGAATTACAAGTGTTTCAAGATTATGCTGGTTTATCCCCTGTGACAGGTACTGTTTCAAAGCTAAATAATAGCTCTTGTCCGTCAAATACTTAAAGCTGAAATGTCACGCTACTTCTCCAAATGCCGTGCCTGCACAATACAAGAAACTGCTTTCCTTTTTTAGTCCATGGCACATGTATAACAGTGACACGATCACTGGTTATTTTCGATTTCCAATGAACTCTAAACATATTCTTGAGCCGAAACAGCTACATCTTAGCTCAATTTCAACATGACAGTATTTTATTAACCAAAAATAAGTTTAACTTTAGCTTGTTAGGTATCCTATACTAGACAGGCCTAACACGACTAAAGAAAAGATGTATATCTATTTATTTGTGTTTTTACAGTCCAGCTTTCTGTGCGTGCAAGAAAAGATGAAGAAGAAAACAAATCGTGAATCTTTGAGTCATCCATCAAAGATGGCGCTTTCATTTTTCCACGTATGTAACATCATTGGTAGAGAGAGAGAGAGGAGACAAACACAGTTAAGGATTTTGAAGGTTGTTGTAGTGGATGTTATCATAAACTGCAAGTTGGTGGAACTATTGCAAAGAGGAATAAAAATTAGAAACTTCTTCTGTATAATTACTACTAGCAGTACCAATAGCATCTTAGAATGTACTATTCTCTGAATTCTTTTCTCGACTAACAACGCTTACATGCTTAAATCAGCTTTAGTTGTTTCGCTCAAAAACTAATGCATGAGCGGACTTTTGACAGTTAGCGTGGATGTTTCCCCCAGATTCTAATGTTAATGGGAAAAAGTTGCATAAACAAAATATTGACTCCGTAAGTCGACATGCTTAATATGTTTATTATTTAGACAATAATTGAAGTATGTTATGTTATCTCTTCTTTTTAATAACAAAATAAAATCTTTTTTTCTGAGTGAAAGTGGGAGAAGTAAATTATTGCTTGCACAGCTTTTTTGTTATCCTATATGTAGTGGAAATCAGGCTGGTCTAATTAGAAGGAGCCTTTGTGTTAGTGAAAATGATTTAGCCAATAAGCTTCCATTAAAAATAAGCATTTCTTGCGTATATCCTAAGCCCCTGCTTGACACAGATTCTTTTGAAATACATTATTTCATAACTCATTTTTAACTTTACATTCTTCAATAAAATAATATTTTTTATCATATCAATAAATTTTCATTAACTTTTAACCACATATTTCTTATCATATCACTATTTAAAATACATTCTTTCCTCGATAATATCCATCAAACACACCCTAAGTAACACTTCCTAAAGTCAATTTTGCCCTTCATTTGGTGCATGCCTCGTGGAAATTATAAGGTTCTCACAGGTATTTGACACCCATTTTTTGGAGAATAGGATTTTTGGAATAGTGATTGATGGGAGAATGTGTGGTGAAAAAGTTATGAAAAATCTTATATTTGTATGTAATATTATTTTATTGGAAGAATGTATGGTTGAAATGAAAAATGAGAATAAGAATGGGTGTCAAACAGGGGCTAAAACTACGTAAGAAATCAACAAAATATTTCCCTAAACGGGACATAATGTGCATTCAAATCTCCATATTCCATATCATTAGGTCCCATTCTCGTTTTCCATAAATTCACCCCTTTTATGAGTTCTTTTGCCGAAATGTTGGCTGAGAAGTCACCAAACACGGCATCAGTTTGGATATTTTCCAGCGAACCAAACCATTGAGTGGAATGAGCATAAGATGATAGAAGATGCAAAGGATAATATAGAATGTGCTCTCTAGAATCTGTTCTAGTCCATCAATCAAAATTCATTTTCCTCTCCATAAATAATGAGACCATAGTCCTCCACTGATTAACTCACGGTCACAAATACATACCATTTTTTCATGTATTAAGTGCAAAAAACTATTCAAGATGGTGAAATTTTCAAAGCAATTTGAGGGTCAGCTAGTTCCCGAATGGAAAGAGGCCTTTGTCGATTATTGGAAACTCAAGAAGGACCTCAAGAAAATCCATCTCCTCAACAATGAGAAATCAGAAATCAAAAAACAATCTAATTATTCTTCAAGTACACTAGTTTCCTACATAAACAAGTACACTTCTCTTGGCCTGAGGCTGAAGCAAAGAGAACACACAGTCATTCAAGTAAGCCATCTTTCTCGTTATGTGCTTTTTGATCTCAATGTGTCACGTATAGAATCTATCTTGTGAATCTATTTTATTGACATTAAGTTCATTGATTTTCTTGTAATTTTTCGTTCAGGTTCACCAGAAGCTTGCAGCATCTGCTAGTCAGGGATATACGTATGAGACAGAGCTGCTTGAGCAATTTTCTGATACGGATGCTGCCATCGAGTTTTTTGCATGTCTTGATCTTCAACTTAACAAAGTGAATCATTTTTTTAGAACTAAAGAAAAGGAGTTTCTCGAAAGGAGCAAATCATTGAAGAATCAAATGGAGATTCTCATTGAGCTTAAAACCGCGGTGAAGCAACAACGTGCTAAAGGACCTTCCTTTCAGGACACGAAGGAGGAGGACTCGATCTCGGGCACCATATCATGTGGTAAGAAACACATTTCCTCTGTTTTTATGATAAAATACTCAACAGACATTCTGCCTTAATGATTCATCTTGCCCCATGTTTAGTTCATTGGACTGAATAACGATGGACCAGACTGTCTTTATTTCTGCACCAAATGTGCCCTTGATGTTTTTTTCATTGATAATTTCCCATACAATGTATGAATAATGCATTTTCTCGACTAGAAGAAAACTAAAAGAAGAATCTTGGAATCTTTCTCTTATTTTTATGCTTAATAGAAGTTCAGTTACTTGTGAAAAAAAATAAAAAAATCCATCTGTTTGTTTCTGTTTGGCCATAGATGAAGAGTCAGTTAAGGACCGGACAGAACAAGAACAGGGGCTGAAGAACTCAACCGATGAATTGGACAAAAATAGCATGCAATGCACAGTGTCCCCAACATCTGATGAACTGGGAAAGTCAAAGAGAATGAAAAAAGAGGATGGGAAATTTAGGTCCTTATCGGGTCGAATCATTAACTACCAAGGGAGGAACTTAAGAATTCATATTCCTATGACAAATCCAACTAGAACATTTTCGTCTATCACATATTTACTCTGGGATGATTTGGTAAATCAGTCCTCCAAGAAATGTGGTTCGGATGAAAATAAATTGCATATCAACAGAACGAAGCTACATCATGCGGAAAAAATGATTAGAGGAGCATTTATCGAGCTCTACAAAGGATTAGGCTACCTGAAAACTTACAGGTATCAACATTTACTAGTACCATTTTTCATTTTTTTTTAGAATTTCTTCTCTTTTTATTGGTAAACAACATTACAAAATACTTTTATCTAAAATATTTCAGGCACTTGAACATGCTTGCTTTTGTAAAGATTATGAAGAAATTTGACAAAGTAAGTATATGTGATTTAACTTTTTAGTTTTGTGGACATTCATCTTTTTCCTTTTTCTTTTATCATGTCCAACGGACTTTTATGTATTATCAGGTGACTAACAAACAGGTTCTTCCCATTTACATAAGAGTGGTTGAGAGCTCCTACTTCAACAGTTCAGACAAGGTAAACCACAAATTCAAGCTTGTTCCCGATAAATATGGGGTAGGCCATATGAATCATTTTTCTTGACTCAATTAGGTCCAAAGATGTTAACAATCTTTAGTAAAATAACTGGTGAGCGTGAAACAGAAAAACCTTGATTGGAAGATGATTGGATGTGGGGTATCAAACATCCCATCATCAGTTTATTCTTAGACAGTTTTAAGTGGTGAATGATCAGACTATATGGCGCCTCTCTCTTACGAAATGGTCCTGGATTTCCATTTATCTGCCAATATTTTCTTCTCGCTCATTATTAAAAACATTAAGAAACCTAATTAGCTTGAGCAATGACAGGCTTTGAAGTTAGCAGATGAAGTTGAGGAGCTTTTCATTATGCGTTTTGCTGAAGATGACAGAAGAAAGGCCATGAAATACCTTAAACCGACACAGCGCAAAGAATCGCATGCCACGACATTTTTCATTGGTGAGATTTTTTTTTTCAATCAAATCCAAATGTGCAGTATTGCAAGTTTCCAAAAAGAAGAAATTATTCAAGATATATACACAACTGGTTTCTTTTTGAGTACTTGTACTAGTGGACATTCTTGATCAGCTGTCTTTCACTTGATGATCACACAATACAAAATAAAGATCAAAATAAAAGGGACGACAGGACAAGCCTGATAACCTTGAATCAGCCACTAAAAAATGCAAAAAGGGTCAAATATGGTCCACATTTTGGAAGTGGACTATAAAGAAAGGCCCATGTCTAAAACTGTAAAGAACACTAAATATTTAAAAGATAAGGGATCTCTTTTTTGTCTCCAGAGTGTGGTGCCTTGCTGTGTAAGAGGTAGACTGTAATGAAAAATATACTAATGTTGAGCCTGTGCTTAAAATATTAGGGAGACAAGCATTTCATGAATTAGTACAAGTTCCTTGATGTGATATGTCACTAACATATAGAAAGTTTAATGCAAGGCCTACTACATAGATTTCCCGACTATGCACTGTGTCTTTGCCCAGTGACCACGGGTTCAAGTCTCATTTTTGGCCCTTCAGAAGAGAGAGAGGAAAGAAATATCCATCAATACAACAAATCGTCAAGAAATTATAAAGTTGCTCATAGAAATAGTGAATATGGATATCTTTTAGTGTTTTAAAAAGCGTAAAGTGTGGCGAGACGTAGAGGCCAAGCTTCAAACTAGGCGAGTCTAAGCATATAAATGTATTTTCTTATTTAATATTATTTTAAATTTGAAAAATCAATCTAAAAATTATTTAATAATTAAAGAAAAATTGTTGAAAAAAAGCGACTAGGCGAGAAAAAAATAATTAAATAAAGCAAAATAATAATAATAATAATAATAAATAAGCAAAAAAGCACGAGGCAGGGAATTTTGTGCCCTCTTTGCGCCTAGGCACTGCTTTTTAGAACACCGATATCATTACAGTATATTCCTCTATTAAAAAATAAAATTATTATACAGCTTAATATTGTAAGAGATTCACTGATCCTGCTTTTTTTTTTTTTTGGCATGTTAATAACCAGGCTTATTTACTGGATGTTTCCTTGCGCTTTTCGTTGGATATGTCGTTATGGCTCATATTACAGGGATGTATAGTCCTAATTCAAATACAGTCTACATGGATACCGTCTACCCTCTCCTTAGGCGAGTACTTAAATTTGATATATTCTCATATTCGACAATTGATCAAAGTTTCAACAGCTACTAACTGGAATTTCGTTTTATATTTTGCAGCATGTTTAGCCTGCTATTTCTACATTTCTTTCTATATGGATGCAACATTTTTATGTGGCGAAAGACACGAATAAACTATAGCTTCATATTTGAGCAGTCTCCAACAAAAGAACTAAAGTACAGTGATGTGTTCTTGATTTCAACCACATCAATGGCTGCTGTAGTCGGGATCTTGTTTGTTCACCTATCCCTCATGTCAAAAGGTTACTCTTATGCTCAAGTTCAAATCATCCCTGGCCTTCTGCTCCTGGTAATTTGCTTATATTACAGTTCTTAAGTAGAAGTATTGCAAATATTAAATATAATGTCGTATTCACTAAAAGAATAGACAAATTCTTTTACAGGTTTTTCTAGTAGTCTTGGTGTGCCCCTTCAACATTGTCTACAAATCAAGTCGTTTTCGTTTCCTTTCTGTAATACGAAACATCATCTTATCTCCCTTGTATGAGGTCTCGATGCTCGACTTTTTCATGGCTGATCAACTTTGTAGCCAGGTAATTAGATCTTTAATTGAGTGATATTTCCAAGTACTATTGAAATTCTTACATTCTAAACACTTAGTAACTAATCATGAGTATATTTTTCTACTATAAATCAGGTACCAATGCTAAGGAATCTAGAATATGTAGCATGCTACTATATAACTGGGAGCTACAAAACTCTGGATTATGGATACTGTGTGAGGACCACATATTATAGGGACCTTGCTTATGCAGTTTCCTTTTTACCTTACTACTGGAGGGCTATGCAGGTTTAGCACTGATTTTTTCTCCTTACGGCGTATTAATTTTAAATGTTTGATATAAATTTATCAATGAACTAACTATGGTTTTGTCTTACAGTGCGCACGTCGATGGTTTGACGAAGGGCATAAAAGCCACCTTGTCAACCTAGGAAAATACGTGTCTGCTATGCTGGCAGCTGGAGCTAAAGTGGCGTACGAGAAAGAAAAAAGTGTGGGATGGCTTTGCCTAGTTATAGTCATGTCAAGTGCTGCAACTTTGTATCAACTGTATTGGGACTTTGTAAAGGACTGGGGTTTGCTCCAGATCCATTCCAAGAATCCATGGCTAAGAGATGAACTAATTCTTCAGAAAAAGTTCATATACTTTTTCTCAATGGTATATATGCCCCCTCTCCTCTGATTCTTTCCCTTCAATTCTAGGCATTTGAGCCTCAAATCTCAAGAAATTATTCTCTCGCAATGGGGATTTATTCACCTCGATCCGAATTCATGATAATCATACCGTACACTAAATGCAGCCTAACCATGTTTTACATTCTAAATCTGATTATTATTGGTCCCAAAAGTCAGGATTAGTACTTAATTCATAAGACCTCCCCCATGTCTTTATAGAATGGCTAAAAGGATATCATTACAAGTATATAGATCATCAACTAGACATGAAAATTGTTAAATCTTTTTAGCAAAACCAACCTTGTTCAATGATCTTGAACAAATATGCTATTTTCTGTAGGGGTTGAACCTTATTCTCAGGCTAGTATGGTTGCAAACAGTTGTCCCCTACAATTTTGGAAGTGTAGACTACAGAGTAACTGGACTATTTTTAGCAGCACTTGAAGTTGTTAGAAGAGGGCAATGGAATTTTTACAGGTAAAATAAACTCTCTTCAACACATCCCCTTATGTTCAAAGTACTTACGAGTGCAAAATTTTAATAAATGGGTGTCGGAAAAAAAAACTCAGGACTTTTACGTGCTCTAACACCATCCCAATGCTTAAGCTGAACAATTGTATATATTGTATATATTGTTTTGCAGGTTGGAGAATGAGCATCTAAATAATGCTGGAAAATTCAGAGCAGTGAAGACAGTACCACTTCCTTTTCATGAAGTGGATGATGAAGATTAAGGCCAACTTGCTAACAGAATACTAGCTAGGACTATGCAACTTACTACTATGTCATTATTCAAAGAAGAAATGAAATTGCCACTTTACAAGTTGATGTTCAAAATATCAACTTGTTTTGTGTCATGTTCTCTTGATTATTCACTTCAGCTAAATAATTTATAAATGTATACAGAAAATTTTGCCTCATAGTTGATGGGACTAAAATATTTGTCTTAATATTTCATTAACGCAATGATGTGAAGATCATTGCGTTGATGTTGAATATGTAGCAAAAAAATTGGTGAATCCCAAGATTAGTTTGGTATACGAGACTAGACAAGATTAAGCACCATTAACAAACTGAGACGGGAACCAATCACCATCTTACAATTTCTTTGACAATGCTAGAAATTATATTAAGATCTTATAAGACAAAATAAATATTATGTTGTTACGAGGTGGATGAACTAATAATATCTTAGAAGGCATTATGACAGTATGATTACAGTAATTTGTACATTCTTGACATTATATTTAGGTAACTTCTTAATATTGCTCCATGTTAGCTGAATGTCACTTCCCAAACTAATATTATCTTATGGGCAGTCTCTCCATTCTAGAGATGGCAAATGGGCTGAGAGGCTCGATCGCTAGGCTCGTGAAAACATGAGCCACGATTTGACAAGCTCGACAAGCCTGAGCCAAGCAAGGCTCGGCTCGTGGGCTCGTGAGAAATTAAAGAAAATTTTTAAAAAAATCAAAAAGCTTGTGGGCTCTCGGCTTGGCTCGTGAGCTCACGAGCTCATGGGCCGAGCCGAGCTCTCCCATGAGCCTCACGAGCCACGAGCTCGTGGGTTTAAGGGCTGAGCCAGCTCGGCTCCGTCCATTGCCATGACTACTCCGTTCATAGCAAATTTAAAAGAAGACAAACTTTAATCAAGGTCGGACTTTGAATTTTCATGGCCTAAAACGAACTTTAAAATGGGGACCTTAAATTATAGTATGCAATATGCATTCAAAATTTTCTTAATAAATCTATAAACTCAAAACTCGATAAATCGATAAACAAAATGAAATAGACAATCTCAAGAAAATTCGGCCATGGATTTAATGATGGTAAATGTTGTTAAAATCCAAGTGAAATCTTTGATATCGAGCTCAAAAATCAACCAAGCGAATACTAAAACCACCAAGGGTTTGAATTAGGGCAGCAGCATCGCGACGCTGCTGGGCAACAACATCAAAAAATCGCCGGCAACAGAAGGAGAGGGAGGGGGAGGAGAAGGGAGCAAACCATTCCTCACCATCGACGGCAGAACAGCCTGGCCAGTCAACATATACAAGTCCAGCGTCGACATTGCACGTTGGATCTCTGTATTTCTGGCTACTGGCGCATTTACAATCTCCGACGATGGCAGTCGTCCATTTGTGGAGAGGGCAAAGAGAGATAGGTAAGGCTTCGTGATGGGAAGAGCGTGAGAGTTGAGAATAGAGAGTGGTGAGGTGGTGCCGACGGTTTCGTGCCGACGGTGTGGTGACGGTGGAGAAATGTTGAGAGAGTGGGCGACAACTGGATAGAAAATGTAGAGAGAGAGGTGAGAAATTAGGGATTTAAGTAGGGGTGGGGTGTATATAAATTAATTTTTATAATATTATTATTAATATTTAATTAAATATAAAAAACATGCATCTATATATAAAATATCTGATTTTTGCAAACTAAAACTTAAAATCTGATTTTGGAATTTAAATATCCAAAAGTAGGGAAGAGTGTAATTTCCACTACATATAAAGGGTTGGGTTAGGTCACCAACTTTGGCCATACTGATCCTTAAATGGACCAAGACAAAATGGGCTAAGATAATACCAAAGAAATGGGCTACAATTATCCCACAATCTGATACCCCAACTACTACATGGATCATCCATAAGTGTAGGTTGTTTTCACTTCTTAATATTCTACAATGCTTTGCAATGGCCTCTAGTTTGGTGGATTTTGTAAATTTTTGGTGCATGCGCTTACTGCGGTGATAGGGTTGTTTGTATCTTGGCATTCCATTCAAGGTCCATCTCAATTTGGTTAAACCTCTTGTAATGGTCGTTACACGACCGAGGTGGTTAGTGACTATAATCATTATGGGACTTGCTTGAATCCTCTCTGTGCCATTCGAGGTTCTCAATCATCTTCTCAATGCACATGAGTGTCCTCAAGAAGTTTATGTTTACTTGGACATACATCTCACCGTTTTTGTTTCGCATATACATCTAGAAAAGGGTCATTGTAAGTGTTATGCCCAAGATCCAATCAACTTATAAACAATTTTAATATGTAATTGATGCATTTCATTTATGGTAGATCTATTATTTAATTTAATTAATATTCTAATGAATTAAATAATTGAATCCGTATATTCAAGTCTTGGTAATTTATTAATCACAAGGAGTTGTGATTATGAGATACAAATTATTTATGTCTGAATCTTCAATCATCTGTGGTCATAAATAATAACGAGATACTGATATCGTTATTACGGACAGACCATCACGTATGACATTTCTTACTTGTGAAGTAAGTAGCCGAACTCACAAGTTAAAGTGTGGTGACACTTAAATGAACACGTAGATGTTTCGTTATAGAACAAAACATTAGAGATTCGTTGGAGAGATTCCACATGGATAACTATCCGAGTGTTAGTGGTTAATCTATAACGTTTGGTAGTGGAATTAGTCATTCGACTTGAGATCATCACAGTGCAATATATATAAAGACAGTCATATTTTGGTGATATTGAATGTTGCTCTACTAAGGTTCCCTAATACGGCATCGTTCGGGTATATGAAGAATCATATGAAGGTTGTGAATGATCAATAAATGATTTGTAACTCTTAGATAGTAAGAGATTATGGTCTACATTTCATGCAGTTAAGTTGATAACAAAATCCTTGGTCAAGGTGTACTCATAAGTCGAAAAAGAATTTTCGATTTACATTGACTTGATAGTGTAATGAAAGATATGATCGATAATTGAAATTGACACATATCCATATCTCGTAATTGATTAGATCATATTGACTAAAGAATTATAGTTTCACGGTAAACGAATAAGTTTGATTTTATCATAGCACGTGAAGTTCCCGTTACATGTATTGCCTCAACACATTGTTATATGTCAATCTAGGACGACAGATGTGAATTGCTAATAAATTTAAAAGGAGTATTTTAATTTTTCGATTTTGATTAGATCAAAATAATAATTAACGTCGTTAGACATCGTGATCGAAACCTAAAGAGTCACACACAAAAGGAAAATTAGAAGAATGAAATTCACCAATTAATTAATTAACAGATGTTGGATAATTAATTAATTGGGTTGCTTGTTAATATGTTGGAATTAATTAATTAGATTAATTAAATATTGGACCAGGTTAACTTTAAAAGACTCACTCGAACTTATATTAATAAGTCAGTTTCAGAAAAATTGATGGAACACAATTTTTTTTTATTCTTCATAGTATAAGAAACGAGAAACCTTAATCCTCTCATTCTTATTCCCTATGTGAATTTTCATTGTAGATTGGACAATTGGACGTCTGTAAATTGTCGATCGTAATTGTTCGTGTTCAAGACAAGCAAAAGAATTAGTAGAATTCAATAGAGGTATATTTTCTATCTCGATTTCTATCTAATCACAAAACAAATTATTTTATTTTTCACAATACATGATTAAGTAAATTCTCAACACTGGTATCGAGGCTCACTTTGTGCTTGTCAGAAACTGTTTTGCTACTTGGAACAATCAAAAGTTGATGGTTTATAAATTTTCTTATTTTTAGCGTTTAAGAAAATTAATTTTATCTTTAAAAAAAAATTGAAAAGAAACCAGTTTTTTTAAGATCGAAAATGGATCGGGGCTATTATGGGTGGGCGCGGCGACGACCCGACAAAAGTGGCACAGCGAAGTAGCAGCACCGTTGGCTCGTGGTGGCGGCAGGCTCTCCTTCGCTGCTTGCAGCGAGTGTAGCAGCGCCCTTCGCCTCTGAAGATAGCAACACCGACCGATTGCTACACAGTGCACGAACTCCTACTTTTGCAGTACTGTGCACTACCCATTTTGAGCACTTGGCTGCGATGCTGAAATGGTAGGGTGAGGTTGATGCCGCAAGTGAAAATGGAGGAAGAAACGCCGGTTTCTGCATCACAAGGAAGAAAGGTAAATATTTTCAAGGATTTGGGGTGATTGGAGGCTGGGCCTTTATTGCAATTTGAGAAATTACAGGCCCCTGCTTGCAATATGAGTTGAGGGTTAAGGATTGTAATTTTAAATGGAGGACCTATTTTGCTATTTACGAAATTGGAAGGTCCTATTTTAATTAAAATTGTGTCAAAATGCAATGGAATTTTAAAAAAGGGGTCTCGAATGCAATTTTGAAAAAAGTTTTAAAATTGATTTTGAAATAGGTTTGACACTAAAATTTCAATTTTGACCCGTTTAAAATTTTATTTAAGATTGGGGACTTTCAATATTTTCGTTAAAATATGATTTTAACTTAAATATTAAATTTTTACCCTAAATTGAATTTTATTTTATTTAGGAGTTTTATCCTAAATTAAAATTTTAATTCAATTAAATTAGAGTTGGACTCTAATATAATATTTAATTAAAATTTGATTTTAATTAAATTATACACCCTAATATATTCTTGAAATTAGAGTTGGACT